AAACTCCTGGCCAAGTACCAAGAGATCGTGGCCTTCTTTGTGCAAAGCAGCTCCGTCTGCATGACGATGATGGCGGGCGGTCTTTTTATCGGCTACTATCTGCACAACAAGGTTCAGGGCTATATCATAACATCTCTAATCTCGCTGACCTATGTTTTGCTCTTGCTTATGGTGATTTTAGCAACAAAAAGGCTCGTGACCCACATGGAGTGGACAGCTTACAAAGTCGAGAAGGACACGAAGAATTTACGAGTAAGCGCAAATAGGTGCTACGCGTTCGTCACAGGCTGCCCGGACCCGAGCCCCGACGCAGAGGCTCGGGGCCCCGCCGCGGATGCTACAGCCCAGGCCGCCGTCGCCCTTGAGACTGGAAATGACCCCGGGACAGAGGCTATATCTCATGCCAAAGAAAGAGCCAAGAAACTGAAGGCCTCTCTCAATTGGTCCACCAGATTCGCTTGGGACCTGTTCGGGGGTGTCGTTGCTTCGTGGTTGCTCTTCGCCATAACCCTCGGTTGCTGGATCAATTTCACGGTCCAGAGCAACATGTCGAGTGAGGGAATTGCTGTTAAGTGAGGGAATTGCTGTCGGTACGTAAGTCTTTTGGAAATTTTCTAGAATTTGATATTATCCCGAATATGTTGACTTGGTTTTGACGAAGAATTTGTGTTGTCTTGGTTGTGTGAGAGGCGAGGCTTTCTGTTTTGGTTAAGCATCTTTTTTCTTCGTCGCCGAGTACATTGCTGTTAAGCTTTTGGTTTGCCTGTTTAAACCAACTGTTTCTTATTATTGTTACTATTATTATTATTATTATTATTATTATTATTATTATTATTATTATTATTATTATGTTTCTTATTATTATTATTATTATTATTATTATTTTTATTATTATTATTATGCTGTTTGGACTTTTGGGTTTTGGCTGTATTTTTGCTTTCTTCACATTGGGAATATGTTAAACTGATTTAGTGTCTCAAATAAAATAAATGGCAATTTGTTGAGTTAATTTCCAGTGAGTTTCGGCTCGAGAGGCTCCCGAAAAATGGCTGTTTGAGTAAAACCAGGCGATTTTCACCGATCTCACGAGCATTTCTTTGTCCACCTCATCACGTTCGACTATTTCGCCCCCCGACCTCACGAACCAAAATCCGCCCTCCAAAGACGAGCCCAACGCTTCCCAAAATACAGCTCAGACGAACTATCCGGCTCGCTCATGAAAACGAGCATAATCGAGAGCGTTTATTACGACATCCTCCGAAAGGCCAAACACTCCTTAATCCTAAAGCAGCCCCATTTACTTGAGTACATCCATAGTCCAACCCAAACGGGCCCCACAGTCTATCCCTCGCTCGTTCGCCGATCTCTTTCCTCCCGAGCTTCATGTGCTATCTGGGGGATACTATCAGCAACATTGCATTCATCAGCAGCCCAGCCGAATGCTCGGGAAGTCGAGAGGGTTCAAGAGCCTCACGGGTTTGGATGGTTTTGGTTTTGATAGGGATAGACAGTATGATGCTTTAGAAACAGTTAGTACGCTGAACATAGATCGCGAGTCAATGGAACACCATCGATATAAACTAACTGACTGACTTCCTTTCAAATTTGGACACACCGACGACACCGTCTCCTCAACAACTCAGACTTTAACTCCCAATCTATATAAACATGGCACAATCTTTATGCATAAGCAGAGCATCAAATAAAAACTTGTCAACTAAAACCAGTTAATTATACACCTCAGGACGTTACTAGCCAATTTTTGCATGTTTTTCTTTTCTAGTTATTGACGCCAACCAAACCATACCTCCTTTCATCCTTGTCCACACGCCTACCATACCAGGTTGTCCTCTTTTTCCCATCAAATTTGCTTGTGTCGACTATCCAAGACGCATTAGACTCCAAATCATAGCAACGCAGTTCTCCACCACCGAAACCCAACACCAAAAGATTATCTTGAATGCTCACAACTTTTGTGACGCGCGTTACAAGAGGTGCGTGGGCGCTCCATGCTTCCGAGGGGCACCTATTCTTTTCCCAATCGAAATTCACGGCATTCTTTCTTTCCCATAACAAATCCGTGTAGTCCACAAGAACCCAAACGCCCACTACAGTCTCCGCATAGCGCACGTAGCAACAACACAAGTCCTCACCTCCTTTGGCAACCAGTTTTGGCACAGAAAGATTTTGGGCCTTGGGGGGAAGCGCCTCCGAGCATAGATTCTCAGTATTTATGTCGAAAACCAGAATGGAAGTATACGGACTCAGAGGATCAAACCAACACATGACTTTTCTCGTGACCGTTGGCGCGCAGGTGACGGGCTGATAAGCAAAGTAGGGACTCAGAGTTGTCCTCCACTTCTGGGACCCGAATTCCTAAATGTGGTACTCCTTACAAAAGTCGCCTATTTCCTTCACTAGGAGAAGCCGGTATTCTTTTGCCAGAGGATGGTAGAAAAGCCCACAACACCTGCCACCCCATTCAGTGTTGTGGTATCATCCCAAGATCATAAACATATTTGAGAGAAAAACACGTTTCTAT